TGGTGTGTAACTAAAAACATTCTCACGACCTCTAGTAACATGTCGTGACTTAAACATAAGAACATATTATGGCTAAGGCTACAGTTATACTCATCATAATAATATTAAACACCCTGTCTGCTGACAGTCATCAACTCTTCTCTCTAGTTATCCTTGACCAGATGTACCCTGTAGAAACTCATAAGCATGACTAAGCATTTAACAGTCTAACTAGACATCCTATCTCCACTAAACATTTCTAATACATAAAGTATCTATCCAATATCTATCTGATTAAAAATACCTAACAGCTGTTTAGGAGTCTGATGGCAGAGGGAAAGAAGGAGTTTTTCAGTCTAGAGGTCCTGCATTTCACACTTCTGAACCTCCGGCCTGAGGGTAGGGATGTGAACAGACTGTGCTGGGGGTGGGATCTTTGAGGATGGAGGCAGCCTTCCTATGCACCCTGCGGTGGTAAATGCTCAGCAGAGAGGGCAGTGGAGTCCTGATGATCTTCTCCTCAGTCTTTACCACTCTCTGCAGGCTCTTGCGGTTCATAGCAGTAGTGCTGCCATACCAGACAGTGATGTAGCTGGTCAGGATGCTCTCAATAATGAAGCTGTAGAAGTTTCACAAGATCCTAGGTGACATGCCAAACCTCCTCAGCTTCCTCAGGAAGCCCACCGTTGGGCCTTCTTGACCAGCTGTGTGGTGTTAAGTGTCCAAGTGAGGTCCTCACTGATGTGGACGCCCAGGTATTTGAAGGGAGAACATCCAAACTCTACAAAGAAAGGCCCGGGCTGGGATTTGAACCCAGAACCTTCTTGCTGTGAGGTGACTGTGCTAACCACTCTTAAAGGGTAAGGCTCGTCATTTTCTATATTAATAGTATTCACAGTATTCCCTATACAGAGACTAAAACCAACAGTGTTGCCTCTACTCATATTTAATGTTTGTCATTTTGTCAGTCTTACATTATTTTATTTGTCTGTGCTGTAGACTGCTGTTGTTGTTCAAAAAGGGTTAAAAACAAACCACTGCTCATTGTTAATCATTAGCAATCCCCAGACCTGTGTGAAGAGCTAGTGGACTGTAAACAAAGCAGAGAGCTTGCACATCTGGCGCATGTGCAGTTGACTCTGTCTTGTGCTAGCTTCAGGGAATTATGGCTTCTCTGAGACTTTGGGGCAACTTAGTCAAGTCTGGGGTTTCATAATGAATGTCACCCAGTGAAGGGGTGGTTTTCCCTGATGTGCTTTTAATTGTTTTTGAACACCAACAGAGATCTATTGCACAAACAAACTCAACAGAACTGTCAGCTTACTGACATTATCTGTGAGTAGAGGCAGTTCATTGTGGGGTTTCTGTGTGGAGACTGCTGAAAATACTATCATATAAAAAATGATCACCCTTATCCTTTAATTGTCACTCAGGTCTTATAAGTAAAATTTGTTGTTCCACAAAATGCATGTGAAATATCAAGTATTTGATCTATAAAAATTACAGCTGTGACCGATTTAGTAATATATATTCAGTTTTTTTATATTGATACATCAGTGTTTAAGCAGACCTGTACTGGTTGTGGTGTAGTAAGTTTTAGTTACTTTATATACAACTGGTTGATTTAGTTTAGTGCTTCCCAAACTAGGGGTTAGACCGGTGCCAGAGGGTCAGATAAATGTGGGGGCAGTGAGATGATTAATGGGGTAGGAAAAAAACATGGTGAGGGGTAAAGCTACAAACCCAAGGTAAAAAAAAACACACACACACACACACACACACACACACACACACACACACACACACACACACACCGACTCAATTTCAAACTCTCTGTGGTGCAGTCTTTGCAGACTTTACATCTGCCATCTGTCAATAACCCATCTGACTCTTAACAACTTGTAATGGATGAGCAACCAGATCATCCCTTGCCCCCCTTTATACTTTCCTTACACACATTTCCACATGACCAGACTTACACACACTCCACCTTTGATCAGAAATAAAGTACCAGCTGCTCCCACAAATCCCCTTCTTCCTCTTATCTTGTCTAGTTTGAATAAAAAGTGTGCCTCGTCCTTACGTATAAACACAGTCAAATGCACTATATATGAAATGTGTTTACTGTATTTCATAGATTTGCATTTTTTTTCTAATGATTAAAAAATTTCCTGCAAAAAACGACACTACATGAGCTGTAGAAAGAACGTTTTAGGGAGTGGGAGGACCGTTGAAAAGACAGACGGTCCAAATGAGACAGGGAGCAAAAAGGAATTGAGGACGGAAATGAGGAGAAATGAAGTGGGACAGAGAGAATCAAGGTAGGGGGAAGAGGAAGGTGAGCAGCAGAATAGAGGAGGGGTGTGCGGGGATGGCAAATAAAGTGTTTGTTACAGTGCAGCTGGGAAAAGATTGAAAAAGAAGAAGTGGGATAGCAGAGGTGGAAGGTGTTTTCATATCACGCTTTTTATGCTCTTAAGGTTCTGCAGTATTCTGCCCACTTAGCTCCAGCTCTGCCTTTTTTTTGACTCTGTACTTTTCCTTTTTGCTTCTTTTTGATTATATCCTTCCCTTTCTTACCCCCTTTCTCCCATTTCTCCTTCTTATTTCTTTCCATACTTTTTTTTTTCATTCTTTTCTTTATTTTCCTCTTCTCCTCCCTCTTTCCTTGGCTGTCGTCCCTGCAGGCACGTCTATAATCCAGGTGACAGCCACAGATGCTGATGACCCGACTTACGGGAACAGCGCCAAGCTAGTGTACACACTAGTGCAGGGCCAACAGTATTTCTCTGTTGATCCGCAGACAGGTGAGTGTGTTTATACTACTGTGTGTGTGTGTGTGTTTGGTGTATGTGCTCCCACCACAATCCACATGGGTGGAGGAATGTAAAAGATGTGCAGATGTTGGAAGGCAAACATACAGACACTGCAGAAAAGCAAATGAGCTCAAGGTGTTGAACAGCAAACGTGAACACACACATACAGTAGTGTGTGTGTGGGTGTGTGAACAGATGCATCCAAAGAGACACACACATGTACAGGTGTATATGAGTGTACAAAGAGGTGGAGTTAAATATCCAACAAAGTGTGGAGTTGCATTCACTAACTGAGAAATATTTCTCACTTTGTTACACACACAAACTTTCTTCCTGTGTGTATCTCTTGTTTTCTTGTCACACTTAGTCATCCATCTTTCTCACTTCCCTTTTTCCTCTTGCGATCCCTCAAACACCCTTAAACACTAACACCCGCGCACACTCCCTTGGGCGTACACACACATACACTCCCCCTCTTCCAGTGTTCCCCCGTTCACCCCAGTATGAGTTGGCAAACATGTATTCATGCTGCCAGGCTCGGTGTGCTCTGAACAACACGCAGCAGCAGCAGCCTCATGTTTTTATTTCTGGATGAAGCAAAGACAAAAAGATGTGCATTCAAAGAGATGTCAGCTAAGGTTTGTGAACTGTTACACAGGACAGATCACAAAGGGCTCAAAGGACCTGTCTGTTGCATGTGTTCTCAGTATGCCTCTGTGTCACACATGTAACTCAAGGGTGCAAAGTTTTTTGTTGAGTGGAGGGTGAAGCTGAAAGGCACTTTATATATGTTTTTATTATGATTACTTTTTTCGCATTGCAGCTTGGAGGAAAATTGTAGCTCAGTTGAGTCAGAAATGGAGTTCTAACTGTCTGATGCTTCTGATTGACAGTGCACTTAGAAACACTTTAGCTTTGTTGGTGAAGTTTTTGGTTTTTTCATTTATTTTTGCATGTGGGACTGTTTTGCTCATTGAAAGTCACTGTTTAGTATTTGATTACTCTGACATGTGAGGACAACTGCAACAAGTGGTGCTTTTTGAAATGCTAATCGGGGAGTATAAGACTAATTACACCCAGTGTGGCTGTGACACGGCTCTAGTAGAAAAGCTTATGTATTCTGAAGGTGCCCGTGCTCTTCTTCCCGCTTCTCTCCACTTTGTATGGAGCTTGTTCACTAGAGGCCTAATTCAGAATGTGCACGAGCCCATTCACTCACATATTCAGTTTGCTTATTTATGAATTCTGCTCAGAAACCTAAACACATGCCTGCTTGTTAACATACAAAACAGTCCAGCATTGTATGTGATTCACCTTGAGCTGCCAAGTCATCCAGGTCAGTGTTCTGGCTGATGGTGGGCGAGAGCAGGCGGCACTTGATATGCAAGATCCAATCATATGTAGCAAAATGAGGTCGTTTTCACAGAGAAGTGATCGATGTTGAATGTGTGTAAGCGATGCTGTTAAAGAGTGAGAGATACAGAACGAGATTTTACGCTCCGTCAGCATGTCTGGCTGTCAGCGTGCGGTGATTTATCATTTCCATATGAGCTTCTTCACATATCTGTGTTTCTGTACGTGTGGGTCAGTGTATGTGAGGTTCTGTGCGCCGTTAACGGGACATTAAGTTATACATTTTCACTGTCAAATTGAAAGTGAATGTCTCCGAAAAGCTGTCATACTGTCCTGCTGTCAGCCTGAGGACAGTGCTGTTTGGCATTGACCATTTGATTTGACTTCAAAAACCAAAGAGATCTAAGAAACATTTGATCAATCAGTTAGAGTGAAAACATTTTAATTACTAAAACTGAAGCGGCTGTATGGAGTTTTCCCACAACAGCAGCTCAGTGACTTTTTACCTGTGATAATGATCAAGCAGCTGCTGACAACACTGACAGGTTTATAGTACAGTTTACAGCTTCATTGGATAAATTAAGTAAATAGCTAAAAATACAGTCCTGTTATTACCGTAAAGATGAGTTCAGTGCCTAATAGGAGCTGGCACCACATTCTAATGAGACATACTTCATAAAGGGATGTAACTAATTTCTCAGGCTGATAGACTGATATTGTAATTATAATGTACTGGCTAATTTGCATTTTTACATACACACAATGTAAACATTATGATCTCTTGATTTGTTTTTTGAGCTATGTATTGGATGGAACAGAGTAAAAATCACTGTCAGGTTGTTAAATTACTGTATGGAATGAAGAAACTGATTTACCATTATATTGCTATCGCAAATAAGCTATTAGCAAGAACAGCTTTTGGGTTGTCAGACTGTGAAATATATCTTATCTTACTATGTCTTTGTAGCTGTGTAACTGCAGTCTTGATGAAGTCTTTAATAAAGGGTCATGACTCGACTCAGTTCAAAATGGGCAGTCAGATGTACAGTTACAAATGTTAAGTAGTCATTAATAAAAGGTCACAGAGTCTATTAAGGTCATAAGTCCACCACTTCATAGAGGAGATCTATAAAATCTATTGGAAAATGGAAAGCTGCATCTGACTTAGATAGATAAAAAGGTTATTTTGTAACCCACCATGAGGTTTACGGGTAATACATGTTAGTAAATCATTAGTAAAGGCTTTTTACATTACAATAATTCAACAAGTCCGCAATTATAAAAGGCGATGATAAATGGGCTGCATTGCATTGTTGATGAGTTATTGTAAAGCGAGACAGAGCAAGGTATGCAGGACCAAAAATAACTATTACAAATGGTACTGATAAACAAAACATTAACACATGACTTGTTAGTTATTAATAAGGCAACTTAATATAAAGAATTGTTTTTTTTAGAAAGAGGTACCTATAGATGTCTGAAGATCTGCTGCCATGTTGTTAAAAACGTGAACGGCGCTGGATGCAAGGCTAGTGTTCTGTGGGCTTTTATTCCAAAACAGAGACACACAGGAAGTGTAGTTTGGAACCACTGAGTCATATATACTGATCAAAATGCTTTTTAGTTCCATATGCAGTAGATATATTATGGTGATTTGCTGCAATTTTTCCACAGTAAGAAACTTGTTTTCCCTGCTTTAGCTGCTTCATGGCCACCCTGGCACTGCTCTTTGTTTGCTTGTGTGTTCTCCAGGTATTCTGCGTACAGCTGTACCTGACATGGACAGGGAGACCCAGGACCAGTACCTGGTGGTGCTTCAGGCCAAGGACATGGGGGGCCACCTGGGTGGATTATCAGGGACCACCACCGTCACTGTCAGGCTCACTGACGTCAATGACAACCCCCCACGCTTCACCCAGAGTGAGTTATCCATCAGAGAATTAATGACTCTCAGGAGCAAACAGGCACCACAACATGACAGAAGAAAACTACTGTACTGTATGGTGGACACACGGCACTTTCTGTATGCACACATACAGTATGTGTAGGCATTACTCATGCTATCTCCCACTGCAAGCCATCCACATGCATACATACACCCATCATGCAGATTGGTGGGGCCTCACCTCATTACAGCAAGGCAATATCAAGTCAGCTGTCAGTCACTATAAAGTAACGGACATTTTACAAAAGTTTAATTACCTTGTTGTTGCTTATATTAACTTTCCGGTGCTCTTTATATGGTGAACACTAGGCTACATAACAGCATAAGTTCAGTGTTTGTTTTGCAACAGAAGGCAGGAGTGTTCTCAGAGTCCTTTGACCTGCAGGTCCTGACAGGATTTTCACAGCAGCAGTCAGGCAAAGGAGACTCCTGCAGGGCTGCAAAGGGCCTCATCAAATATTCAGTCACAGATTTCACTCACATGCACAATACTACAGTATTTCCAATTGCAGCTGTACATTGAGATCACTGGCAATGGACAAGCTCCTCTATTTAGGTCAACATAATTGGTTGCATAAATTACTGCTAATAGTAATTTCACTGTTTGTGATTCTGAAGTTATTTTAGATTCATTTTATTTTAGAATGGATAGACGGAAACGCTCTATGTCCTGTTTGGCTGTGTGATTTATATTGTTAATAAATTAAATTAGGCCTTACTCCTGTGGCCTAGTCTACTGCTGCATTAGTACAAACATAATTTAGACCAAATTAGTCATTTACATAATGGCTGCTGGTCACTGTGAAGGTTATGGAATCAAGCTGGATTATTAGACATTATTGTCCTAGTTGGACATTATACTGTAAATCATTTTTTAGTCATCCAGGAGGAAGTTAGTGTGCTGGTTAGCGAACTCCCTGTGCAGCACTGCTCTGGACCGTCTGTGTTTGTTCGGTTCTTGGCCAGCATACCATGATGTGTGAGGCCTATTTTAATCCATTCCTTCTTTGTTATGCTCCCAGAATGGTGGGTGTGTCCTTTATTGTGGTCAGAAGGGCAAGAAAGTTGGGCCTCTGCAACTGATCAAGGGAACCAAGTGGCCTTGGTGGCCAGCGTTCATGTTGTCCTTTATTTAATGTCATCCTTTCTGCCATTTCTCATTTCAGCAAGCTTGGTTTCTCCCAAGATAATTACTGACCCTCTTAAAATTAGAATGAAGAGAGTTGAGGTTGGGATATATAGGCTGCTACAGCAATTTGGAAAATGACACTTTATTTGGATTTTTTTTATGATCATTTATAGATTTTAACTACTACTAAAATCGAATTAACAAAAATATATTGCTTCTTTCAGGAAAATTCATAATTACTTTAAGGGTTGAACGCTGAATTGTGTTTTTGCTGGACACCAGTTTGGTTGCAATAAAAATGATTCTTCTATAAATGAAATTCAAGACAACATAATTTCTAAATAAGATGCATCTGTGTCAGCATACTCACAAATTAATTGGTATGGACAAAAAGACAATTTTAGTGCAGTATATTTGTATTGCTTGATTATATTCAAATATAATTATGAAATTTGTCAGTGGTGTTTTATTTACTGATAACAGCTACATAGTATTTGGCCAGTGATGTTGTTAATGATAAACAGCTAGTTTGGACAATATGTACATTATTTTATGACAAAGTAAAACATAAACTGACCCAAGTCAATCCCAGCTATGTGATACCTAATAACCAATGATTCTGAATGATACTGAATGATATCTCTTGCGCTTTAGCCACTTAAGCTAATGTCAGTGTTAGCTTCACAGACTGACGGAACAGACTGCTTCATATCCCTGAATACTGGTGGTCCAGATTCAGACATTTGAAGTTGGTCAGTTGAAAATAAACATACAGTATTAGCTGGTCTAAAGTTTAACATGAGTTTTTCTCAGGTTTGCCTGCCTGTCTGTCAGTCATTTACACGAAATAGCTACCAAGCTAGCGTTTAGCTACTTGTCCGAAACTGTGATCGCTTAGAGCAGAAGTTTGACACTGTGGATCCCTTTAATTGTCACCATTAAAGTTAGCAGTTCCTGATTGCACTGTACCCCCAGATTTACAGACCAGTATTACATGATAACTTTGATACTAAAGAAAATTTTGAAAATATGTTTCTCTGACGGTGTTTTTTTTTTTCATTATAATTTCTGAGTGGATTTATTGAAGAGACAAATGATATTCTCTGAAACTGTAAGTCACATCTAATCTAAAAAATATGCATCATGTATGTTTGTTCAGATTTGATGGTCTGATGAAATTATACAATATTGCAGCAGGTTTTTTTTTATACAATTCACCAGTAGTATCCCCAGCAAATATTTGTCCCTCTTCCTCCATTCAAGTTGTGTTTATATCTGATGTTCCCTGAAATCAACACAGCTACTCCTCTGTTATGTTATGATTTATTAGATGATGAGAATATTTATCTAAACCCTTTTCTCTTAAATGTGTTACTGTATGTACCATTTCTGTGAAGAGAGTTGCTTGTTTGACGGTAATGTCAAGTTTTTCTCTGTGGGGTTTAAATAGAATTGTGTTTGTCTTAGCAGGACTGAGGGTTCCATTCAAATTTACTGTAGGGTGATTATTTTTGCTACATTTTAATCATATGAAAAGACATTTTGTCTTGCAGTTTTTGCTGTAATATATTCTCAGTGTCATGCAAAACACAGTGAAGATCTTCTGTCATTTCTATACAGAACAGTGTTTTTGAACCACAGGTCATAAGAACTAGAACTATCATAACAGTGACTTCAAACATTAGGGAATCTATTATTCCGCTTGAAGGTGGATATAGAGCAATTGCTCTCCAAAAGATGAACCATTATGGGGCTTTCCCTAATTTCTCAGGGGCTTATTTGACCATTTTTCTTCTGTGTTCATATTTTTTTCATTTCACTTTAAGAATAAATTAATAGCCTTGTACCATCTTTGTACAGACTTATGTCTTTCCTCTGTCAGGTATTTCACTTATTGACCTGCTTGGTTGCTGTTCCTTCACCTCAGTGCTGTGTTTCTCTCCTGAATTCCTGTAGCTTCTCTATAGTGTGCACCGGGATCTAGTTTCCTTCATCTCTTCTCAGTATGTATTGCCATGGAAATACTTTTCTTAGGTTTTTCTTCATGTTCATAGCTGACAGATCTTTTGGGATTTTCATGTTGATCCCATGCTCCCTCATTGCATTTGCCACCTCCTGAGTGTTTTTTTTTAGGCCCAGGTTCCCATGTTCCAGTGGATACGGATTCTTGTGAGGGGAGTTTGAAGGCAGATTCTTTTTAATTTAAGTACTTTCTTGATCCCCATGTAAACTTGACAGTTCTGCCTCACCTCATTTGCAGAATCATGGTCAAAGAAGATCTGTTTGTCACTAACATATATCCTTTTTCTCCTGGTATTCTGTAACACTATGTCTTTGATCTCAAACTACAGAAAGTTCACAATGATGGATCTTGGTGGAGAGTTCGGTTCAGGCTTTGATATCATGGCTCAATGGCTCTTTGAATCTGTAGATGCACTCTGTCAGGTTCAGGTATGGCTGGTTCTTTGTTTAGTAAGTTATTAACAAACTCAATCATCAAACTGCCCTCAGTGTTCCCTGGTATATCATAGATCTTTACATTATTTATTAGCTCGATCCTTCAGGTCTGTTAGTTTTTCTTGCAGCTCGTTGAGCTGTCTTAGAAGAAGAAGGATAGCATTTTTAGTCATTGTGCCACCAGCTTTGAGTTCTGATATACTTGTGTATATACTTTTAAAAGCAACTGGAGCAGAACTCTTGACTTTGCCAACATTCTCTTCTGCAGCTACACCACAACTCAGTAACTAACCTTTAGTTAATTTTAGAACACCAGCCAGTCCACATGTCTTTCACCTCTCCTACTGGCCTCATCTTTCTCCCTATCTCTGCCTGGTGAAGAGCAGCAAAATCTCAAAAACTAAACTATTGATGTCCTGGGTTGGGAGGTTTGCTGGTCGAGCTGAACCCCCATCAAAGCTAGTCTTTTGGACCGGCTTGTATTAAAGACTGGAGGGCATCTTGGAGAAAAACTGAACTCATTCTCATCTGTCTGGAAGCCTCATGTTGCCAGCGGCTGCTCTAAAACAGCACAGTCTACCACCCATCCTAGCTGTTGTCTCCATGGATCCTGCAAAGACTCCCTGCATGTGTGTGCTTTATTGATTGTACTGACGTTAGCCTACACTTGTGAGTTTTTGTGTATATGTGTGTGTCAATAGCCCTACTATGCCACGTTTGCTTGTGTATGTTTGTGTGTATCCTGATCCTCTGCTTACTTCCTTTTCTGCTTTGCTTCATGTGCACATGCTGTCTTGTGCTTGCACAAACACCATCAAAGCCAGGAACCCTGCCACTCTACTCAATTACACACCCAGGCTTCTAAAAAGACACCCTCAAATCCAGTCCCCCTGTTTACCAAGGTCAACACTACATATTCCTTGTGGCATTCACCAGAGGGAGATGATAGAGCAAATGGACAAGGTATCAGCTGTACATTATAGCCTTACCAAGAAGGAAAAATGGGCCCTGATCTGAAGGCTTGTCTTTTCTTCCTATCCAAAGCACAATTCCAAGAGCTAAGTGGGTTTTCAGTGTGTGCGGTTTTGAATGCTGTTAGGTTTTGTCATGCTGTCAGGGGATTTCATATGCCCGGAGGAAGCAGTAGAACAGAGTGAAAGTAGGCTAGCATGCAGATTGTAGTTGCTTTTTGGTTAAGTGATGAGTGGAAAATGTGGGATATTTTCAGATGCCTCATTGGCAAACATAACACTCTAACCACACTTTCCTTTGGGTCTCATTATCAAATGGCATACACCATAATCCAAATGCATTTGGACAGCAACATGTTTTTTGATGTCGTAGCTCTGCATTCCTTGGTGCAAAAAACGCTTTAATTTTATTTTCATC